GGAAATGTGTGAGTTGTACACATTTTTTCTCACTTCTAGATCATCTACAAACACACAATTTCACTTTTCTAAATAATCATGCCAAGTCAACATGAGAAAAAAGTTTTAGGACGGAGGGCGTAGTGCAGTAGTAAGAATTCTACAATGGTTAGTGGATACAGGATTGTTTAAGACAAGTATTATTTGGGTTTTACTTTATCATTTTATCCTTACTTCATGGTAGGGTTTGAATATGATGCAAAGAATAGATTCATAGCTAACAGGTAGGAGGTGTCAGGTACGTAATACTCCGTAATGAATAGGCATAAATAGGTGATTTTAATTGAAAGGTTAATTTTATTTGAACCATTGAAAATGAAAAGAAGAAATGTGACAGAGAAGTACTACGTATGTTTTAAAGCAGGAAAGAATCTAGGTTACGACAAAGCTCAAATTATCCCGGATGGAAGTACGCTAGGAAGCTTTCAAAAGAGAACAAGAATGAATTGTCTTGTACAATTGTATCTTTTCTCAATAAGTGACAAAAGGGTATCGTAAATAGCAATATGACCAATAGGACAAGCTTACCTTTTGGAGTGTGTAGGTGATCTTGAATTTGATATATGCTTAGATCTATCTTTGGAGGGAGATCTGGACCTACGTTTGTGCCTATCCTCTCTATCTTTTCCATAATCTCGTCGCCTACAGAGCAATTCAAATCAATATATTTAGTCTTTTTGTTAACTTAATAATCAACAAAATTCATCATATAAGATCTAGATAGCAAAGGAGTTTTAAAGCTGGAATATAGAACATGCATGATAATAATGTGCGATAGCTATAAAACATAAAGGTCTGATAGACCAAAGACCATGGGGTCCCAATCCGGCGGGATCAAAGTGAGTCTCCCAAATGAGAGGTCAAAGGTTCGAACCCTAGTGGGGCAGTAACTCTATGTGCTTTAATAGGTTGAGAATGTAATAGGTTGGAAATGCATGAGCCGACGCTAATTGTAAAAGAGTTATTAGTATTCAAATATAAAGGTCCGATACAAAACTTCTATTTAAAAAAATTGTTAGATGTGAAAGTCTTACCTGTCTCTGTCACGGCCTCTATAGTTACCATCATCGTCTCTATCTCTGGTCCTCTCCCTCTCCCTCTCCCTTCTTTCACTGCGATCTTTGTGGCGTTCTCTATAGTGGTGATCACTGATCTTTTCCCTATCCCTGTCTCTCCCTCTCTCTTGATCTCTATTTCTATCTCGATCTCTATCACGCACTTTATCTCTTTCCTTGTCCCTGCTTCTAGATGACTCTCGTTCTTTCTCATAGTCCCGTAAACTATGCTGGAAAGAAAAAGAGGTGTTGTGCATAAAATAACTTTCAACTGCAATTAGAATATAAAATTTTCAACCAAGGAACGAAATAGGAGATGAATGATAGTGTTCAAAAAAAGCAGGGCAAACCATGGAGCTATAGTAACCACATAATGCTAGTGTTGGAGAAAGAGAATTATATACATAATACATCGTATTCAAGAAGCAGCTGAACCTAAAACAACATATCTTTATTCGAGTTTGTTTCAAATCTCTCTTTATGACATAAAAGTTGAGAACATAGAAGATTAGCTTCTAAATCAAAATGAGATCATATAAGAACGTCACATTAACCATCAAGCAGAACCAAAAAAGACATGTATTTGAATAATTCAATGAATGTCACATTCGTCAGCCATCAAGGGCATTTCAAAAGTTCATATAACCCACAGTTGCATGTGAAATCATAATGCAGACAAAACCATAAACCTAATCATTAGAGCATGAAATTCAGTAAAGAAACAGTGACAATCATACCAGAAGTATTTAAGTTTTGGATCAACGCCTAATCGATGTACCGAAATCTGACTCTAATATCATTCAAAAATGATAGTAAATAATACTCCATAGTAGCATAAGTTCATAATTCAGAGTTCAGACCCGTAAAAAAAGCAAGGCATATACAGGGAGCAGCACCTGGGACTTGGAGTCGATGTGTTCCTCAGCGCCGCCATAGACGCCGGTGGATTTGGGCAGGGGAGACGCTTCGTAATTGTCTCTACGGTTGCCTACATCCTCTCCATTGCCTTCATAGTCTGGCATCTTCTACTTTTCCTGCCCCTTTCACCTACTTCAACGGCTTTCTATTAGAACCTTGACGATGAGAAGCCACAGAAAGTTAGGGCTTGCAAGTTACAACGAGGTTTCACGGCTTCTAAATTCTACTCCGTAATCTTTCCGATTGTGCTTGGACCTGAGTGTGCATCTGGGCATGCTCTGACTATGTCACATAAACCTAAAGCGGGAGTGTGGTCCGTGTGGATGCTGGATAGACCTAATATTTTAGAAAGCTGTAGTTATTTTTAGATCGGCAAAATAGAATAGGAATTGATCATCAGAATGACAGAATGATTAGAAATCGAAATTGAAATGATACAAAAAGTGAAGATTTGATTTATAATAGAATATCTAAAATGATTTAAAATTGAACTAAATATATTCATACATAATTTAAATTTGAAATCGATTAAATTCGAAACTGGTTAAATCTGAAACCAATAAAACTCCAAGCTATTAAGATCTGAAATCGATAAGACCCAAAACTAATAAGATTCGAAATCGATTATATCCGAAATTGATTCTGCCTAACAATAAACTTATTATATTTATGTACATTAGTGAACAATTACATTCATGTGATTTCAAATTTTTAGTTTTATTTTACCATTTGAACTAGTTATATACTTACTCCCTATGTCCCAAAATAAATTACCATATATAAACAAAATGTAAAATTTCATAAGTTTTATATTCATTTTATTTATAAATTGGTATAAAAATAAACAATACAACTTACATAAAAAATTAGTTAAAATTTATACTAACTAGAGCACATACGGTTAAAAAGATATGTTTTCACCTCCTCTCATATAATATTGTGTGATTGGCCAAATATGTATTTTGGATTACACTAGATCTATACTCCTGCATTGCACGATCGTAGTTTTTTCCCAAAATTCACATATAAAAAATATTAAAATAAATGTCTAAATACATAGAAATTTAAATACAAAGACAACATCACATATGAATTATCTTTAAATATAAAGGGGTAACTAAATTCACTCCAAAAGTCTACACCAATGTCAAAATTGTAATGGGTGTGGAATTGTGGATTCAACAAATTATGGAAAAAGATTAAAATAAAGTCATTTTTGGGTGGATTTAGAAATACCATATAGTAAAATATTAATGTAATCACATTTACAAAGAGCGATTCATCACAATATTCAAGTAGGGGTACTTTCAGCGTTGTGATCGAGTCACGTAGTTCACGGAGTAAAGTTTTTGAAGATCAGTATTGTGATTCATCTTTTTGAGTTCAATGGAGAATCGTAAGTTAAGACAAATCTTTCAAAGTTTAATAGTTTGGTACAAGCAATGGAATTCAATCTTTTTCAAGATTGATTAAGTGGATTGTTTCAAGAGTGTAATTAACACGGCAAGTTTGAGTATCTCAATGATATGATATTAGTCACAAGATACAAGGATAGCATTTGCGAATTATTGTTATTAATCGTAGGTCTTCATCCTTCGATGTTTCACTCTTTGGCAATTGCTCAAGGGGTCGTTATCTTAGCGCATTAGCCATTTTTACTTTTCGTCTCGAAATTTGAATGTGTTTTAGGACAGCGAATCTAACTACTCATGAGTCTCAATACGTCATATCGTCAGTAGACTGTAGTATTGGCAAGTACGTTCTCATCTGTAGGTAAATCAAAGTTACTATTTTTGCAAATCCACTTTTCTGTACGTATTTTGGCTGGTGATAATAACTTTTCCATCAAGGGTCAGGTTTTGATATACCCCGGGTGACGAACGACCCTAAAGTCATTAGGCAAATTAACGAAATAATGTTATTACATCGCCATGACATAGCTATAATATCCCTGAGCCCAACCCCGACTTAAAACTAGGCCGTTCTCACCCAAATCCAAATCCCAAAATATCCAAAGATCAGCCCAAAACTAATTTATTCCCTTCCCCTTCTCCCCTCCACCTGTGACCAAATATCTCATCCCAAAATCAAGCCTTTACCACCTTTTTACCCCCCCCCCCAACTAGGTTGAACAAAACGGCCACGAAAAACCAAGACACTTTGACCCACACTCATACCCTTCAACCCTCCTTTGTATCACCCATATCCTGCCCAGGAAATGACTCCAAATAGCCAGCCCTTTCACCACATCTCTCCTGCCTAAAAATAACCCCACCAAAACCAATCAATTTGTGAATTATATTCACATATTCCATCCCACCATTTATGGCCAAAAACCTACCCTACAAGTACAACCCTCCCTGATTTTCTCCCCACCAAAGGGACACCAACAAATGGCTATTATTCCCTTTAGTTTGCGTGAATAAGAGACTTGGTAGTCTCATTTTTCTCTTCCTATATAAGCTCATCCCTTGGCATTATAAACATATATTGTATTCCATTTTTAATCAAAAGTGATTCACTTGTGTATCTCATACAAATTCCTAATCCTATATCTTAAGAGTGGTTCTCTTCTGTGTGAGTTTTAGGTTCTAGCTATTTAAATGAGTGTGTGATATCTTATTTGAATGCTAGACTCAACCCCAAGTAAAGATAAGGGTGTGTGATATCTCTTAACACCAACTTGGTTTGTCTTCCTTCATCAAAATACTCCTTTTCCTTCCTAGAACCCGTCAAATAGTTGATTATCATCGTTAACAGTCGAGTATCTAGCCCTCGTGAAGCACCTACAGCCTTCAATAGGCGAATGTCATCATCTTGTTAATCGAGTATCTACCTTTCCTGGATCTTCTGAGTTTTCTCCCGAGAAACTGAACCACCTGTTAATCGATTATCATACCTGAATAATCAATTAACCCTCTCCCCACAATTTAAGGAGTTTTGTTCTTAAACTTAAGCCTAATTCTGGAGCTTAGGTATAACATTTGGTATCAGAGCTTGTTGTTGAGCATCCTCTTGAGGCCAAACAACACACTTCCATTTATTTTCCCCTCTATAAACTACTACTATATTACATTTCCTTCTCCTTCATACTATCATCATGTCAAATACTTCTAACAACCTCTCCAACGAAGAACTCCTAGCTTCCAATGCCGCTCTCAAACCCCAAGTTGAGTACTTGGCAAAACAAGTTGCCCAACTCACTAAGCTCAAGATGAGCATGGTGAACACCTCGGAGGAAAGAGATGATGATGAAGAAGTTGCTCTCGAAGCTAACTCTAGTAACACCACTAAAGGAGAGAATCACGAACTAGGAGCTACTGATTTCAAGGTTGACATACCAACCTTTGAAGGAAAGAACGATCTCGATGACTTTCTAGAGTGGCTCGAAACTGTTGAGTGCGTCTTTGACTTCAAAGATGTGCCCGAAGAGAAGAAAGTCAAGATCGTGGCACTGAAGTTCCGAAAGTATGCTTCCACTTGGTGGTCTAACTTATTCAACCAAAGAAGGCGAGAGAATAAGGCTCCCGTGAAGACCTGGCTCAAAATGAGGAGCTTGTTGAAGAAGAAGTTCTTGCCCGAACAATATGTACGAGACAACTTTGCCCGGTTTCAACACCTAAGGCAAGGTCCCCTCTCGGTTGAAGATTATAATCGGGAGTTTCAAGAACTCTTAATGAGGTGTGACCTTCAAGAAAACAATTCACAAACATTGGTACGTTACCTATTTGGATTAAACAGTCAAATAGCTAATGTAGTTGAGCTGCAACCTTATGATACCTTTGAAGAACTCTCTAAGTTGGCTCTCAAAGTTATATCCCAAATTAAGAGAAACAAAACATCGTTTATCCATATCTCCCCCTTCTCCAAACCCCCTCCTACTACCTCAAAAGCACCCCCAAACACCCCTGCTCAAAACACCCCTTCAAAACCCAAATCCATACCGTCTACTTCCTCCAACTCACCCCCCTTCAAAATAGCCCAAACAAACACCCGAACTCCCAAATGTTTTCGTTGCCAAGGCATAGGTCATTTTGCCAATGAATGTCCTAACAAGAAGATAATGGCCATTGTTGAGTATGAAGAAGAGGAGACCAGCCCCTCATGGGCTGAAGAAGAGATTGAAGAAGAGTGTGTAGGAGCCGACGAAGGAGAACTCTTGGTCATCCGAAGGACCTTGAGTAGCATAGCTAGTCCTGATGATCAACTACAACGGGAAAACATCTTCCATACACGTTGTACTATCCAAAAGAAGGTGTGTACTTTGATCGTGGATAGCGGAAGTTGTACCAACGTAGCTTCAAAAACGTTGGTTGTTATACCCTAACCGGGGGCCTTATCATGTAAGTAATTTAAGGGTTGAATTACGGAGGAATTGGAAGCAAATCTAGATCAGCCTTTAAACTTTAGGAAGGCCAGATAGTCGATTGTCACAATCGTGATAATCGATTAACAAGTGGTTCAATTTCTTAGGAGAAATCCTCAGGACTTCAGGAGGGGCAGATAGTCGACTGACAGAAAGGTGACAATCGACTGTTGGTGACTGCAAGACTTTAGGGGGCAGTGACAGTTGATTGTTGTGAAATGGTAATCGGCTGTCAGTCAAAAATCTGGGGAGGAAGAAGGATATTTTGTGTGGGGAATGGCTGGAAATATATGGAGATGATGAAAGAGTTCTTTAGGGTATTTTAATGGAAGAAAAGAGTAAGGTTAAGAGGAGAAATTAGAAGATATGGAATGGAAGAAAATCAGGGATGGATAAACCAAGTTGGTGTTTAAGAGATATTACACACTCTTATCCTAACTTTGGGTTTGAATCTAGAATTTAATTAAGATATGACACACTTAATCAAATATCTAGAACCTAAAACTCACACTTAAGATAACCACTCTTAAGATATAGAATTAAGAATTTGACTAAAATAACATCACACTATTTTATGAATACTCAAAGAGTAAAAGGTTTTCAATATTCAGAGATGTTCTACAATGGACACATGGCCTGAGTTTATATAGATGCATAAAGGAGACTCTAAGGTCTCTTATTCACACAAATCAAAGGAAAACAAGAGCCACTCATTATTGTCATTTTGGTGGGGGGAAAGGGGGTGTGGTTGTAGGGTCTTTAGTGAAGGTTTATCAGGGGGAAATGAATGGTATCTCCTTTGGTGATTTGGAGGGGAATATTTTGGCCAAGGGGGAAGGGGTTGTGGAGGGAATGGCTGGGTTTTTTGGGGGCTTCTTGTGGGTATTTTATGGGGAACAAGGTGAGGTCTAATTGGTGGGATGGTGGGCCATTATGTTTTGAATCATAGTGGCTGTTTGTGCATTCAAGTTGATGGACATAATGGGAAGCAAGGATGGATTTATGGCATGGGTTTGGGGAGGGGTTTTGGCTGGGTATTTTCGGCCAAGGTAGGAAAGGAGCAAGAGCAAGGTGCACTTCTTTATTAAAAGGCTTAAAAGAAGGAAATAACAATAAACAAAAAGGTTTACGGTTTGTCTTCTACACATTTTCGGCCATGGGGTGAAAATAGGTGTAAGAAGACTTTATTTTTGAAAGGAAATAAAGAGCAAGGTGTTTTGGATGTTTAGGGTGGGTTTGGACTTGGTTGAGGCGACCAAGGGGGTTCAAAAACAAGGGTGTTGGGTGGCATTCCTGAATGGAAGAAATGACCAAAATCAACCCAATAAGGATTATAACACTTAAATCACGAATCCCCTTATTTGTTTGAACACTTCTAGCACGTTCAAGAGTTTGGGTAGGGCATGCCCAGGTATTACATTGGTAGATAAGCTGAAGTTGAAGGCCTCCCCACACCCAAAGCCATACACGATTCAATGGTTGAATCATGGTAAAGGGTTACGTGTGGATTCCTAGAGTTTGATATCATTGAGCATTGGACGAAGTTAATTATTCCGACAAGATATGGTGTGATATCATTCCAATGGATGCCTGCAATATTTTATTAGGACGACCTTGGTTATTTGATCGGAAGGTATTCCATGATGGATATGCCAACACATATTCATTCCTCATCAACAAGAAGAAGATTACCCTCACCTCCTTACTCCCCTCTACCCCCACGGCTCCCCCACCATCCAAAGAAGAAACCCCCGCCCTCATTTCCACTATATTATAAGTCGAACACCATGAGTATGAACCCCAAAAGGAACTAATTCTCTTTGAGAATGAAGGACCCGAGCCCATATCCATCCCACTTCCTCTTCACCCATTAGCCAAACCCATTGTGGACCAATTCTCCCATGTCTTTCCCGAAGATGTGCCCCACGGCCTCCCACCAAAGCGAGACATTCAACACAAGATTGATCTCATCCCCGGGACAGCCCTACCCAACAAACCAGCTCACCGAATGAATCCCAAACAAACTAGGGAAATCCGAAGGCAAGTTGATGAATTACTAGCCAAAGGATTTGTGAGGGAAAGCTTGAGCCCGTGTGCTGTCCCAGCTCTTTTGATGCCTAAAAAGAATGACACTTGGCGAATGTGTTGTGACATTCGTGCAATAAACAAGATCACCATCAAGTATAGGTATTGTTAGGCGTGTCGTAGTGCCTACAAATTAATTCTTTTTTCTTATCCCTTTTTTAATTTAAAACTTATATTTTATAGCTAGGGTAAGTAAGAGTCGATCCCGGAGAAAGATATTCTTTATTCTATGAAAATCACTTACTTAAGTTTTACGTTATTTTCCATTTAAAAACAACTAATAAAAGGGCTAACTATTCAGGGGGTTTTAAAAAGATAAATTGGAAAGATAAAGATAAATAAAAAGGATAAAATGGGCAAAGAAAACACAACCATGGAAGCAACTTGGAACTTGAAAGAACACACAAGGAAAACTGGAAAACACTGACACAAAGACAAACACTTAAACTTTATAAAAACGTAAACAATAGTAATTAACTTAAACTGATTTTTAAAAATACTTTATAGTTTTGGAAAACAAATTGATCAAATCCAGATTCTCAAATTAACTAAGACTACTCCAAATTAAAACGATTGACAAAACTCTTGGGTTATGTTGAAGAAGAAATCCACCAGCGGTTCTCCCCTATTTTCCCTAATATAGCCTAGGTTAAGACCTGCCCTAACTCTAGATCCTACTATTTTTAACAACCTGAGGACCTGCCCAAAGATTTAATTAAAAATAGAGCATTTAGTTTAATGGAAAACATCACTTAACAACTATGCAGTAGACTATATCTATTTAACATAGCTAGTTTGAAAACTCCAATTAATAAAAACGGGTGGGAGCCAATTAAGTATTAATCGGGTGACACTTGTATTTTGAGAATCTCAGCTATTAACGTGCTTAAGACATCAAAACTATCAATTTGGGATTAGATTTTAGGTGGCCATCCTAAATTTGTCTAATCCAAGCATAAACAAAATCAGTTTTCAAACACCATTTATGAGTTCAAATCAACCGTAGCACTAAGGCTAAAAACATCTCCAAACCATATTACTCAACAAGGATTCTTGAACCGTAGGTTCAATCTCTTTGATGAATAAAATAGACATGAGAGTTTTAATAATTTAAGAGATCAATTAACCAAGAAAAACAGATTTGAACAATAGGAATCAGCATACTCAAACATAAACATATTCTGGACATCATACGTGGGGAAGGAATTGAACCCAAAAAATCATTGAAATTCATTTAAACACATTGATTAGTCTAACAAACATTCTGCCAATTTGTAAAAGGCAAACTATTTAATTCAACCAACCAACTTATCCATAGACAAATGAGTGTTCAAAAGAAAATCAAAACTCTACTGTAACATTAAAAACAAGAGTAACACCAAGAAGTAAAGGAAGATGGAGGACCTGGACCGAAGTCCAGGCCCTGAAGGTCGTACCCCTTCTTCGCTGCTGCTCTGTCGCCCAGTTCTCTCCCTCTTCCTTCGCTGCTCGCTGCTGCGTTTTATAGGGGCCGCACTTCAGCTTTTTCTCTCATATTAGGACTCAAAAATTGAGTCCAAATATTCTATGCTGCTGTTCCCGCACGGTGTGGATCGAAGGAAAACTCCCGGTTCTTACTCGGACTCTCTTCTTCTCGAATTAGGACCCCAGTTTGAATAAGAGTCTCTATGTTGCGGCGTTTTTGTTAGCAGCTGGCAGGATGGAAGAGTGGCGCAGGTTTAAGCTTTGAAGATGGTTGTGCATTACTCGTTGTGGGCTTCTCGGAACTGTTGTGTCATGTGTGACTTGACCCATTTCAACTCTTCTTATGATTCTTGACAGCTCCCCCGGGATCTAACATGACATCTTTTAAATATATCAATTATTTAATATATTTAATATTATATATTATAATTATGGTTGTTACCTATTATAGTTAGAGTTATTATTATATAATATTACTTTATATAATTAGCCATTAATGTGGAGGATTCTAAAATATATTCCTTCACCTATAAATACATACTTTGTATTCCTCTTCTATCATTCAATTAATAAATCATTCTTTTTTACAACCAAGGGAAAAAAAATTGGGTGATGCACATGAAACCCCACCCAAAGGGTCTTCGGATGGCATAGGAAGCATCACTTTGGGAGATAATGATCCTCAATATGATCCCAAACTAAAAACTAAGCCTCCTTATGTTACTGTAGCTCCACCGGCTTAAAACAGAAAACCAATAGTTGTGAA